GATTTCTAATTCAAGAGGTGTTGTAGAAAATGTTTTACAGATAGATCATTACTTAAGAGGTACAAATAACAATTGCCATTACAAAGCAGAGAATCTAAGAGGATTTAATTATTGTACACATAATTTTACTATGTATATGAAAGTTACAAATGCCATTTGCAAATAGCAAAAATATTAAAAGTTCCTAAAAAGTCTGATCTCTACCTCACATCTTAATAGATTTTAGTATTCTTTTCTTCATAGAGGTAAACCTCAACTCCAGATGGATTAAAACAAATCAGTAGAATCTAAATTAATTGTATTTCTATTTTACAACCAAAATTGCCTTAGGTCACTTTGTTCTATAGCTCCTCATTCCATTATCTGTCTTTAAGGCATTTATTTTTTTCCTTCACAGTCATATTTTAATACTAAAAGTAAGAGCTTACAGCTCTGGTTTTCTTCCTGATGAATGGTAAACAAACTTCCCTCATTGCTACTTCAAAATTGTCTTTAATATATTTAAGAAACTGATTCACAAAATTTTTAGAGACTTCCAAACAAGTGTGCAAGTGGTTTTTTTTTTTTTTTTTGAGATGGAGTTTTGCTCTTGTTGCCCAGGCTGGAGTGCAATGGCGCAATCTTGGCACATGGCAACTTCTGCCTCCTGGGTTCAAGTAATTTTCCCTCCTCAGCCTCAGCCTCCCGAGTAGCTGGGATTATAGGCACGTGCCACCAAGCCCGGCTAATTTTTTTTTTTTTTTTTTTGTATTTTTAGTAGAGATGGGGTTTTACCATGTTGGCCAGGTTGGTCTTGAACTCCTGACCTCTGGTGATACACCCGCCTTGGCCTCCCAAAGTGCTGGGATTACAGGCGTGAGCCACCACACCTGGCATTTTTTTTTTTTTTTTATGAGACAGGGTCTGGCTATGTTGCCCAGGCTGGAGTGCAGAAGTGCGATCTCGGCTCACTGCAACCTCCACCTCCCAGGCTCAAGTGATCCTCCCACCTCAGCCTCTGGAGTAGCTGGGACTACAGGTGCACGCCACCATGCCTGGCTAATTTCTTTTCTTTTTTTTTCCTTCATTTTTGGTAAAGATGGTTTCACTATGTTCCCCAGGCTGGTCTCGAACTCCAGAGCTCAAGCAATCTGCCTGCAGCTTCCCAAAGTGCTGGGATTGCAGGCGTGAGCCACCGCACCCAGGCCTTTTTTTCCTTTTTAAAAGAAACCAACCATCTTAAAGCTGTTTGTAAAGATTTTGACTATTTTTTGTCTTTAGAGAAACAGGTCTTGCTATGTTGTCTGAGCTGTTCTTGAACTCTTGGGCTCAAGCGATCCTTTCACTTCAGCCTCCCAAGTAGCTGGGCCTACAGGGGCATATCACCATGCCTGGCTTATTAATTTTAAAAGTCACATATATGACTGTTTTCATCCAACAGTGCTTTTTGTCCATGACCAACCCATTGATAAGGTAACTACCCAATCATTTAAAAAAAAAAAAAAAATCCTTTTTCTAAATTATCAAATACTTTATTAAGCAAAAGAAAATAAGGAATAAACTTTTTAGATCCCAGGCTTCAACATTATTTTGCTATTCAAATAAAAATGTAGTAGTTTTCACATTTGTTACCACAGATTTCAAAATAATAATCTACATTCCTAAAAACTATTTACATATACAAACAAAAGAGAATATAATTAAGCTGAGTTTTTCCATGTCATTGTCTTTGGGGTTCAAGCAGCAGAACCATGATGTAGGTAAGAGTACTAAGGCCGATTGCCAGTGATGTGATTCAAGTTCAAGAACAAAAAGTTGAGCTGTGGGTATATTAGCTTGACTCATAAAAAGGATGTTAACCAAAAGGTCTCCATCTTCAGAGACCAAACAAGGGCAAATGTGCTATTGGTGCAAAAGTAATTGTGGTTTTGCCTTTTTTTAAAATGGTAATTATTTTTGCGCCAACCTAATAAAATGGCAATAGTAACGATATGGTTATTTGTAAAACAGTACTCTCCTACACATTTCAAAAGAGCCTAAAGATACTCATAGATCATAGGTCTTTAAGAACAAAATAGGCTGCTTATTTATTTGGAATGGTTCTTGATGGAGGATATTCTGGAAGGCGGGAAGATCTTTCCTCCCTTGGCCATCTCTCTCTCTAGGGGGTCAAACTTTGAATTGTATCTCATTTATTTTTCTCAGTGTGACTCAAACCTAGTTTCAGAGGTTAGAGACTCTACATCTTTCAAACACAATTCCTATTGTAGAATTACACAGTAGATAGGAACTCTTACCTGTTCCCAACTCCGTTTCAAAATTCAGCCAAGATTCCTTGATATAGGATTTCTTTTCTTTCTATATTTTCTGCATTGCCACTTAGAACACTTATTTACTCCTATAATATACAATAAAATGTAATTTAAAAAACAACTTTGTAAAATAAGGTATGTAAGAGCAGTGTTTCTTTTTTTTTTTTGTATTTGGTCATGTTGTGTGGGGCAAATACAGCTCAGCTTTGGCTGAGCTATATTCCTTTTTTTAATAATAAAAAAGCAAAATCATATGAAAATTTTCTTACAAATAGATCTATTTGTAAAAGCAAAAGAAAATTTCTTATTTCAAGTATGTAAGGAAAGCGGAAAGTATTCAATTGGTTATACATATACTTTTAGATATTTCAGTCTCTGTAATGACTGACATCCAGTGAAGCCTTCTTTCAATTTTCTAACATTAATACAAAAGTTATCAAAATGCATAAAAGTAAGATGCTTCTAAAAACAACTGTCACATTTAATGTTGTGATTTAGTAATCAGGTCATGATTTTTTCAACTCTAATTTTAATTTGTTTCTGTACTTTCTCTTTAATGGGAGAGGGGGTGGGCTTCTAAGTCTTCCTCTTGAGTCTTTGTACAATAAAGTGAGCTATTTGCTTCTATTTAGCAGAGTTGGATGGGGCATATCTCTGCATTTGATTGGCTGGTTTTTAAGGGATTACTCCTCTGGAAAGACACTGTCTCATATCGAATTGCTAGCAGCGTGGTCTTAACTGTGGTTCAACTTTTAAATAGAAGATGAACATTTACCATCAAAGAGAACACAAACTTCAGGACTCCTGTGTTACACAGATCATACACACTATATTGACCTGTTTTGATAAGGTTCTGTTTGAATACAACCCTAAACACCATCTCCAGAAACAACAACTGTCTCAATGGCATAAATAGGTAATTTGGGGTTTCTCGTGTATTACAAAGAAGCCGATAAAACTTAGAATAAATTCCAACTATACAAATAGGCTTCAGTAAGATTAACAAAATCTGAGGATGACAGGTAAGTCAACAAATTAAATTATACTATTTATACCCAGATGAAATAAAACAATGACTTCTAACTTTTATGTTGCATTTCCCACCTACTCAGAGTAAACATCAGACTTCAAATTCCATTTATCATTTTATCTGAAAGAATTTCCTCAAATCCTTAGTTGCAGGGTTTTACACTTGCAATCCATCAGGTTGCAACATTAAAGTTACTACAGCTTCTTCCCCAGTGTAAGCATTCTGTATGTGTTTTATTTACATTGTCACTTTTTACTTCCTCCTCAACTTTATATGTCTAAGAATGAAACTGTATTGCTATTATGTAACAGTATTTTAACTTTGCAACATACATACTGGTTTCTCTCTCCTTTGAACCCGTGTTCCTGAAAAATAAACACAATGTATCCGGAAAAACTATCTTGAGGTGTGTGGGGAAGAGTGCAAACATGTAGAAACAGACACTAAAATACAGTTGTGTGGAAAGGTAAGGATGTATCTGTCCTTGTTGACAACAATCCCCGTGGTTTATTAACAGCCACAGGCAGCCAACTTAGTGCCATAAGTCGGTAACCCAGTGGGCATCAGGGCTTTAGGGTCTCTTAAAACTTAATGTGATTCAAAAATACCCAAGGCAAGCACGCCGAAAAACCTGGAGAAAGTGCTCCAGTTAGAGCCTCCTTGGCAACCCAAACCGAACCAAATGACTCAGGTGGACGATTAGAATAAACCGTGCGCCGTTCTCTTTCACTAGGTCTATAAAGCCCATAAATTATGTTTGGTCCAGAAAACCAGGAGTTATGTGCACCTTCCTTTTCCACCTTTTAATATTCTGTATATCCAGCAACAGTTCTTAATCCATGGTCTTCATTCCTTTATTGCCTAAACAAGATCGTGGGTGTCTCTTGGTGATCACTTCTTCCAAGCTGACCTTATGTGACAGCAAACTGAAAAGCCTCTTCGTGGGAAGGGTCGCGACCGCGCGGTAAGTCATCCAAAAGTGGAAGCATCTTGCTTTTACTGACTTATGTATACGCGGGTGGCGACGGCGGCGGCCTGACCGGGACGAGGCCGGAGGGGAAGGGGCGCGCGGGCTGGGCGGCCGCGGCGGGGGTGACGGGGGCAGCCACGCTCCCCAGCGCTAGCCGCCGGACCCGGGACACGACGAGCCCCTCCCCGCATTGCACCCTGACCCCTCCCCTCCTTCCAGGCCTTTCATCTGCCCTCCCGCTGGGCAGCCCGCGGCCCCCGGACCTCAAGCCTCCCGCCTCCTTCCGCAACCCCGTCGCGCCGCCTCGCGAAGCCCTCAGCCGGGCGGGGACCCCGACCCGACCCCTCCGGCCGCGCCCCTCCCCCTCGTAGAACGCACCTGCGGCCCCGCCCCCGGCCGAACGCTGAGGCGGCGGTGGGCTGGCGAGGCCGGGCGGCTCGGCCCTCGAGGCACAGTCACCTTCCCTTCCCCCGCCATTCCGCCCACCCCCCTCACTCAGCCACAGAGCAGCCGCTGCGCTCCTCAGCCGCCCCGAAATCTAAAGGGGTCCGTCTCCGGCACCACAACCAAATGGCCGAGCCTCCCTGGCCGGCTGCGCAGCCCGCCCATTGGTCCCTTCCCCCCCCGCCGCCGCTGCCATTGGCTGTTGCCCGGAGACCCTCGGCGGCGATTGGCTCGGGCCGCTGCCGCTCGTCCGCGGGGCCGCAGATCCCGCCTCCACGGCGATCAGGTTAGTGTGCGCCGCGGGTGCTGGGGGCTCGAGAACCGAGCGGAGCTGGTTGAGCCTTCAAAGTCCTAAAACGCGCGGCCGTGGGTTCGGGGTTTATTGATTGAATTCCGCCGGCGCGGGAGCCTCTGCAGAGAGAGAGCGCGAGAGATGGAGATGGGCAGACGGATTCATTTAGAGCTGCGGAACAGGACGCCCTCTGATGTGAGCATTTGCCAAAAATATCTCTGTCGGTCCATTCTCCTACTTTGTGTGTGTGTGTGCGCGCTGGGGGGAGGCACTTTTTTTGGGGGGGGCGCCCGGGAGGTGCGGGTTTGGGGGTCGGACTGCAAGCGAATTGGCAAGGCTGGGGGGTTGCAATGCCATCCGAGCATGTTCCGGCTGCCGCCGCCGCTGCCCTTGGTGTGTGACTACCTGTGCGTGTGCTCCCGCGTGTGCGAGTGTGGGTGCGAGAGTGTGCGTGCGAGTGTGCACCCATCGGGGGCCGGCGGGCGCACGCGTTTGGGTCGGAGAGAATGAGGCGAAATCACCCTCGCAGATCGCTGCTCCCGTGACTCCGTCTGGGGGGAAGATTAACGAGGGAGGAGGAGGAGAGGGGCTGCCTCCTGAATTTAACAACAAAAAAAGGGGGTTTTACATTTTATAAATGTATCCCCCCTTCCGCCCTCCTCCCGCGCCTCCCCCCTCCCTTTCTCTCGCTCGCTCGCTCGCACACACAATAAGTTTGGGGCTTCGCGAGTCCGGTTTAGTTTCTGATAAATGTGGGCCGAGGGCCCCGGGGAGAGCGCGTGGGGAGGGGGCTGCAGCGGAGTTGGGAATGGCTGGAGTTTAAAGTGCGTCTTCATTTCTTTGCAGTGATGAGGCGAGAGACGGGGGAGCCATATTTGTAACTTTGTAGTGTTCGTGAACGCGCCCTTTCTCTCCCTCCCTCCCTTTCTCTGCCTCCCTTCCTCTCCTCCTCTTTCTCCCTCACTCTTTCCACCCCACCTTCGGGCCAGATGCTGATGTTTCTTCCTTTCCTTCCGAAGGGAGGATAAATTAGAAGGAGGGGGAGGGATTTTCGAACGTGCAAAGGCACAGATAATCCCCGCGCCTCCCTGCCTCCAGTGATCGCTGGTGCAAGTTGCCCAAAGGCTACGTCCCGGTCCCCCCTCGCCCCAGCTCCTTCCGGCCTCCCCAAGATGCCAGCCTTTGGGCCCCGGTGTCCCCCAGCTCGAACCCCCGGCCCGTCTTTCTCAGGGCTGGGCTCGTCGGCAGCCATTCGGCGCCTGCTTAATAAATGGGCACGGGAAACTTTGTCAGGACGCGAGCTGCCCGGAGCTGGCGCCGGTGGTGGGTACTGGCTGGGTCCACGTTTATGCGGGCATGGCAAACACGCAGCTCTAGGATGGGAGTTTGCCCGCTAGCCGCCGTTATTGATTGGGCAGCGGCGGGAGCACAGCCGGAGGAAACTTACACGGGTGGGAATCGCCAGGCTCGAGCGAAAGCCCACCCCCGAGGAGGGGGAAGGTGAGGGTGGGTGACTCGAACGCTGGTTTTTATTTCTGCCTCCCTCTCGCTTTCAAACCTTAGTGTTTTCGGCGAGTTGGCGGCTCTGGGGCGGAGACCCCGGCCAACTCCCCTCTTGGCCCCTCGGGGGGACCGGGGACGCGCTGGCGGGAGGACGCCCCCAGTCTCGGTGGCCCGAGCTCCACGGAGTTGGGAGTTTGGGCAGCACCGTGCGCTGGCCTGTCGCTCCTCCAGCCCGTTAAACCCGAATCCCGGCGAAGGCAGGCCTCGCTTCCTCTTTTCCCTAGTTCCTCCCCCCAAACCTGAGTGAGACTTTTGAAAACAAGATCCTTTTTGTCTACCCCCTCCCCGCCTTAACGCAGCTGTGGACTGGAGACGTGCGAGTGCCTTATGGCGCGCAGGGCGGGGAGGGGGCGGTCGCGGGAGAGCAGGGGGCGCCGCCGGAGGAGGCCGGAGTTTCCCCGCACTATTTGCCATTGGTTTGCTTCTCTCCGGCCGCTTTCGTCCTGGCCGGGACCCGGCGCCTTGCGTTTGGGGGCTGGGTGTGGTGATGGGGGAGGGGGTCGGGGCCGCGGTCTTCCCGCGTACTTTCCGGAAGCCCCCTGCGCGGAGGGGGAAGGGCGCCGAGCGCGGGGTCGGGGTCGCCGCGGGTGGGTGTGGGGGCGCGGCTGGCCTGGCGAACCCGACTGACGCTGCCGGCCCCCCGGGAGCGAGCCGGAAAGCGGGTCGAACCGGCTCTTTAAACTTCCCCGAGTGTGTGTGTGTGTTGGGGAGGGGAGCGCACCGCGCCGTTCTGGGAGCGATTTCTCACGCTTCGCCCCCTCGCCTCCGAGCCTCGCGGCCCACACGCCTGCCCCCTGCCTGGAGGCGGGGTGGGGCGCGGGTGGCGGAGGAGGGGGCACTTTCTGCACATTTGCGGGGGTGGGGGAGAAAGCTAGCGAAAGAGGGACAAAAGGGGTGGGGGAGGAGGAACTGTATTTTTTTTAACGTTCTTAAGACAAATGGCTCCCAGAGCGCGCCCCCTGCGCCCCTCCCCGCCGCGCTGCTCCCTGGCCCCCCACACACCCACCTTCGGCACCTCTCCCAACTGGGCTCCGGGAGCTGGTGGCCATGCCGCGACGCCGAAATAGGACGAGCAGCCATGTTTCCCGGGGCTCGCGCCGCACGCCCCGCCCCTCCTCCCCGGCGCGGGGCGCGGGGCTCGGAATGCGGGCTCCGGGCTCCATGCGGCGCGGGGCGCGGGCAGGCGGGCGGTGGGGGTGCAGTACGCGCGGGGCCGGCCTTGTGGCTTCCCGGGCTGGTTTCGAGCTCCAGGTTTTATTTTTATTATTTGTTTTTGTTTATTTATTTATTTTAACGGCTAGGCCCGCCAGGGGCTGAGCCCGAAGGGCGCCCAGGCGTTACTGGGGGGCAGGAGCCGCCGCCAGGGCCCTGCGCGCCTGTGGCACGACTGCCGGGCGCCGGGCTGCCATTTTGTCACCGTGGCTGTTGTCGCTGTGGGGGGCGGGGGGAGCGGAGTCTTGCGCCATCGCCCCGACGGCCTCCCGCGCGGAGGCGGCAGGGGGAGCCGGCCTTGGGGACCCCCAGTTGTGCTCTGAGCCCCGATGGGGGTTTCCGCCCGGCGCCAGCGGCCTGAGGCTGTGCTGGAGCGTCACGGCGGCCGCGGCGCCCGGAGGACGGCGATCCTCTGTGCAAGTGCCCCCCCACGCGCTCCCTGCCTCCCCCGCCCTCCTCTCCGGGGTTTCGCTGTTCCTCCTGCAGGCGTTCAGACGTAGTTAAATGTGGCCTTAAGGACTAACCGTTCGCTCTGGTGTTTGCTCTTTCGGCGGAAGTGATAGAGTAAGGGGAACATTAAACATGAGGTTCTTTTGGCGGGGGTGAAGGGTGTCGCGCACGCGACTGTAGTGGCCCTGACTGAAGCCAAGGACAGCAGCCTCTTCCCCGGGAGGGAAGAGTTGTCGATCCGTTGGGGAAACGCCCTCCCGGGCTGGGCTCTCCGGGAAGGTAGGTCGAGCTCCGTGTTTCAGGTGGATGTTGCAGCGCCCTGCAGGCTAGGGGAACCCTCCTCGGTCTTAACCTGCTCCTTCGCCCTTTTATTTTTGCCTGGGGGAAGACAGCTACAATAGTAATGAGGTCCTAAACCGAAAGAGAGGGATGAAGGTTTGCTTTTGAAAAAAGTAAACCGCCTTTCTCCGGCTGTTGACTTAGGAGCCAGGCAATTCGTCGTGTCGGGTCCTCCGGTGCTGGCGTCTCTGAGAATTTTTAAAAGCCGGTATTTAGGTGCTGGTTAAGCACCTCACGAGCTGAACTCTGGTATCTGTGCAGAGACTAACTTTCATGGCAGTGTCCAGCAGAGACTGCCTTGGAAGCCAGCTTTTACTTTGACCTTTGGAATACATCGCATGATGTTTTCCAGGCTGACTTACTGCCTAATTGGGTTCAAGTAGCATGGTATTAACTCCAGTTTATGCAAGCCAACCAGGAACTCACAGGCAGAAAATTGAGCCTGAAGTTCCCGTATGGTCATAGTCAGTTGAGTTCTGCTGCTGATAGTTTGGAGTCTGGGGGGCTCCATGATGAAGATGGGCTTAGGAATTACACAGACCTGGGTTTGAATTCCCCCTGCCACAAGGAGGTAGGATACGTTTACCTGCCCTTGTGACCTTGGACTGGTGAGCTTAACCCACCTTTTTGAAGCTTGGTTTCTTCACCTGTAAAATGAAATAATAATTCCATTTAATCAGTAAATGATGACAAAACTGGTTTGATATGACTCTCAGTATATGCTGTCTATATGACAGTGTTAGTCTCCGAGACATATCAGGGTGCTTCCAGGCATTACTTTGAGCTCCTCCATGGTTTAGGATAATAACAATATTAGCTAATGCTTACATAGCAGCCACGCTGTGTCTGGCACATTTCTTAAGTGGATTACACGTATCAACTAATTTAGTCCCCACAACAGCACTGTGAGGTAGGTATTATTATCATCATTATTGTGCATATGGAAATTGAGGCATACAGGGGTTGTCATGTGACCAGGGAGTGGCAGAACCAGGACTCAAACTCAGCCAGTCTGCATACTCAACCTCTACACACTCCTTTGAAACACCCTTTTTTCTTAAGATACCGTAAGGAAGAGCTTTTACTTCTCCAGCTTTGGAGTGGTGCCACCTTAGAAAGAGAATGAGTTTTCTATTATTGAAGATGCTGAAATGAAGAGTGGATAGCATCCTAGTTGAAGATATTAGAGGGCCAGGAGGTTCAGGACCAGGGGCTCTGGATTATCAGTTTATGAAGCCATGCATTGAGTTTACTTTAGCACATCACAGTGGGTTAGATTGAAGTGGATCTGGCCTTTAAAGTGCTGGGGGACACGTTTTGAGTAAGGAGAAGACAAGCAGGAGCTGCTCAGGCAGTCTGCATCTGCAGCCAAAAAAAACTCAACATAATTGGCATGTCGTTAGTATCTGGGACATAGTATACTCATAACACCTCATGGATCATCTCACTTAATCATCCGAGCAACTCTTTAAGGGTAGGCCAAGCAGTGCAATGCCATCCCTGTTGTGAGGATGAATCATCTGATTTTTGGAGAGGTTGAGCAACTGGTAGGTGGCACAGCCGGGTTCTCGCACTGCAAAACCACAGTCCCCTTTGGTGGACAGTGGACAGAGACTCCGAGGATTGGATAG